CAGGCGTGGTGGTGCACTATGCCTGTAGTCCCAGCTACTTGGGAGGCTGAGGCAGGAGCATCACTTGAGCCTAGGAGTTCGAGGCTGCAGTGAGCACACCGCTGCACTCCAGCTTTGGCAACAGAGCAAGACACTATCTCTTCCAAAAAAAAAAAGTGTGCCCCTTTCCTGGTTGCAGCTCATTGCTCATTCACTGCCCTTATACCTACAGCGATTTTATTCCTTTGTCACTTTTTATTTCCCCACACTGGGCTGTAAGCTCCATGAGGTCAGGGACCACTCATCAGTGCCTATAGATACTGTGGAATGACTCAAGCCCTAAGGCTGCCGGCACAGGAAATGCTGGATAAAGAACCACGACATTAGTAATAACGTGGCCCAGTTTTCGCTTCCACCTTTAGTGTCCAGCTCATAAAGGGGCTGGTACCTCATAAAGATGAAGTCCCGAGTACGGAGAAAGCACTCGCTCCAATGCTCTGAGGCCCACGGCAGTTTCCGAACCCGCCACTAGCCGTCTGATTTTGCCCAGGGAATGGTTTCCAAGGCAACAGCAAACAGAGGGCGGGGCCTCGGAACGGAGGACCCAGCTGGAGCTTCGCCGGGGCCCTCCCCGGAGGGGAGGCGGGCTCTGGGGCGCTGGGAGGGCGCGCGGCAAGGGGCGCATGCAGGGCCCTGGCGTGGCGCTGCTCCTGGGCGCGGGGGAGCTGGGTCCTGTGCGCCTGGGCTCGGCCGCTTGGTACGGTCCGGAGGGCCGCCCGGGATACAGCTGGCCGCAGAAGCCGCAGCCGCCGGAGCCATGCACCAGTTCCCCCGCCCTGTGGCCCTGGACGCACCGCTCCGACTACCTGCCTCCGGGGAGGGTGTCCTGGCCTGGGCCCGCCTCCGCGCGGCCCGAGGAGGATCGCGCAGGCTGCATCAGCCCGGCCGGCAGCCCCGCCTCTGCGCGCCGGCTAGGCCGCGCCTCCAATATGCTCGGCCCCGGCACCCACGCCCTGGGCGCCGCAGATCCCCACCCTCTCGTCCCCTCGCACAGCCCGGTCCTGGACGATCCCGCCCCTCGGGACGGTGAGGCCCAGAGCGGCCCGCATGCCCTGGCCCGTGGCGGCTACGAGGACAAGAAGACTTTGGGATGGAGGGAATGGGGGTTGGGAGAAGAGCGGCAGAGGGTGGGCATCCGGATGATGGGTGGAGGAAGAGGCGTGGGCATCAGGGCCGGAAAAGATCCTAGGCTGAAACCCCCAGGCTAAGCCCCAGCCTACCCCGCCCCTACTCCACATCTTTCTGCAGGTTCCCTTGTCTTCTGGCGAGGATTCCCCAAGGCGTCTCACCACATGGGCCGCCTCAGAAACGCCAAAATCCACGTGGAGAGAGCTGTCAAGGTCGGAGCGGGAGTGGGGGAGGGTGCCTAGAAAGGGCCCTGTGGGCGGCTGGGCTTGCCCCCACCCCCGACTGTTTTGTCACATCCTTAAAAAACAAAAAACTTGACCCCCCTGCCCATCTTCAACTACCTCCCCATTTTTCACTCCCACTTCACGGCCAGACTTCTTGGCAGAATTGTCTACTCACTATTCTACTTCTTTACCTGGATTCGCTCCCCCACTCCCACGGGAAACCACTCTAGTCAAGATCACTGGTGACCCCCAGGGAGCCAAGCCTTTTTCCGTCCTGTTCTTGGTTGGGCAGCCTGTGTCATTCTGCACTGCTGCCCCACACACCCTCCCCTTGGCTGTCTGACCGCGCACGCCTACTTTTCCTTTCTCCCTTCCTGGCTGCTGCTTTTCAGTTGCCTTTGAAGGTTCCTTGGACATTAGTGATTCCCTGGATCCCTGCTCACACCTGTCTCCTTTGCCTGTCTCCTTGGCTCTGAGTGCAGTCAGTGTGCTACACCCCATAGACTTTGATAGCCCAGCCTCTAACTCCACACCCTGTAGATCTGGCCTCCTACTTGACATCTCCACCCACAGAACTTACAAGCGTCTCAAATTCATGTCTCAAACCATGCTCTGATTTTCCTGCCCAAACCTGTCATCCCTCAAGGCCTTGAGGCCTTTGCACATGCTTTCCCTCTGCCTGAACTGCCATTTGCCCAGCTCTGTGGA